AAGGGCTTTTCCAGTCCAGGCAGTTCTGTGAGGGAAGCACATACTGGACCGCAGCCCCGTACCTGGTCAGGGGTCAGGCAGCGCTGGGGTGTCCAGCCCCCGGTGGTGTCGGTCTCCCCGCAGAAGCTGAGTCTCTCCTGGCCCGTGCTGGGTGCGATGCCTTTCCACCCAGCGCAGCCCTTTCCCTCTTCCTTTCCTGCAGCTGGTATCTGCTTTGCACAACCTCACGAGGCACGTTGTGTACCGCGGCTTGACGAGGGCAGAAGACATCCTCTCTCTCTTTCCAGAAAACTTCCACCAAAATCTGAAAAACCTTTTGACTAAGATAATCTTGGAGAACATGTGAGTGCTACCCACCTGCCATTTCCTTTTGGCTGGAAAGTGAAAGCCTGTGTGTCCGGTTTGATCTGTGGATAGTTGGCAGCATGCAGAGTCTTGTTTCTGCAAATTTTGTGCGTGCCTTGGGCATACTCACAAAATTTGGGATGAGCAGTGGTGAATGAGATACGTCATCTGAGTGGAATGGCAAACAAAACACAGCCATGGGCAGAGAGGGTTTTCCCAAGACTTTTGGAATGCACATGATGCAGAGCCCTGTGGTGGTGTCACTGGGCTGCAGGCAAACCCAGCTGCTCGCTCACTCTCCCCACCCAGGGAACAGGGGAGAGAATTGGGGGGCAAGGCTAAGGAGACTCAGAGGTAGAGATAAGGACAATTTAATAATTGTAATAAAATAAAACTTTAAATAGTAATGATATTACAATAGTAATTATAATAACAGTAATAATAGAATGTGCAAATGAGTGATGCCCAGAGCCATTGCTCACCACCCTGAGATCTTGCGCTTGCAGACGGACAAACACAAAGTCCTTCAGTGCCAGGGACACAAATGCAACATGGGGATGTTCTCAGCGTTTCTCTCCTGACAAATCCCAGCTGAACCCAACCCCCAGCGCTGGTCCAGCTGCTGAACAGAACCAGCTCTGGCCCAGTTCACACCAGGACAAGCCCCTTTTATCCCAACAACTCACCTGTGTGGTGGAAAAAGGCACTCAGCAGCACAGGCAGTCTGTCTCCCCTGCCTCCTGCTATACAGCCCTGAATGCTTTCCCTGCCTCTTTGTTTGTTGGGGTTTTTTTATTTTATTCCAAAGCACTGCTGATACTGCTTTTCTCTCCACTTTTTCACAGCTCTGCTTGGAGGAATGAAGCACAAGCAAGTCAGAGTAAGTAGCAGTTCACATCTTGATGCAGTTAATGTTTCCTGAGGTCACTTGAGCTTAGAGTTTGGAATACACATTTTTGTGACGTAGTGCAGAGAGACCCCCGTTTGCCTTCGATGAAGCTGTACGGTTGTGGCATCACAGAGCTCAGCAGAGGCCAACAAGCTTGTGTTCAGATCTGTGCTGCTTGTTTCCAGTCTCAATCAGTTCCATTTCATGCTCAGGCTGTTGTTACCTTGCAGAGTGCAGTGTATAGCCAGTATTTGCAAAACTTCTGAGAGGGAAGCGCTGTGTCCTGCCTGTTCAGGTCATTAAGTGATGTCCCCATGCAATAACTGTGCTGTAAAGGGTGTGTACATGTTGGGGAACACCTCATCTTTGCACATCTCATCAATTCTCTGCGTTCTTTCTCTTCCATGCATCAGGAGGTACACTGCAGATATCCATAACTGCTTTTCCCTCACCTTTCTAAACAGGGAGGTAATTAAGGAATGCAGACTTTAACAGCAGCATCATAGGCAACGAATTGCCCAAGGAATTTGTGGATGCCCCCTCCCTGGAAGTGTTTAAGGCCAGGCTGGATGAGGCTTTGAGAAACCTGGTCTAGTGGAAGGTGTCCCTGCTGATGGCAGGGGGGTTGGGACTGGATGAGCTTTGAGGTCCCTTCCAACCCAAACCATTCTATGATTCTATGAGTTACATCCCTGTCCAGTGTTCCACACAGCTGCAACACTTTGTTTTCTTGCCACGATGTTTTCTTTACAACTTTAGTGCTTGGAGGCTTACAAATGAGAGCTGATACGTAGCAGAGGTCTGCCCGGATCCTCTTTACCCTTCTCTTTGCCTTCAGAGGAGATAATGTCCAAGGGCTGAACAGTAGGGCAAGACCTGGAAATACATTGTCCCTCAAAGTTTCAATGGAGTAAAAAAAAAAGGGAGAGGGAAGAAACTACTGTGTAATGCTAACACAGTAAATGCAGCAGTTGCTTACACTGAACAATGTTCTAGTGTTACCAAGACACACGGTGCTTTTCCTGGATCCTCAACCCCACGGTGTGTCAGAGGAAACGAGAGCGAGTGTGCCACACTAGCACGACATGATAGCTAGGTCTTCACAACCCAGCAGCAAGGCTGGGTGTGTGGCCTGTGGAGCACCACCCAGGAGTTCTGCTCGGATGTTTGTGTCTTTTGTACTCATTAGATAAATATTTAACCCTCTTGGAATGAGACTGTCTTCTAGGAAGTGATGGATTATTTTAGTATTGTGTTAATAAAATATCTGACTAATATTACATAGGGACCAAGGCAGCGATTTAAAGAACAGGCGTTCCAAGGGATTGATCTGTGTTAACATAAAAACATGGATGGGTTCCTGCCCCTCCCGAGCCACCAGCAATCAGTCTTTTGCAAATTAATATACAAGGCTAAACAGATGTATTTTATGTTGCTGCAAACGCTGCCAAGGGCTGGCCCTGACAGACTGTCAACTGGAATTTGTTCCAAAAGCAAGAGCAAGGCAGGCAGTTCTGCACTGCCCCTGGGGCTCTCCTCAGGGGAGCAGGAGCAGGAGGAGGAGGGAGAGCCTTTCCCCAGACAGAAAGAGAAATTTCTGTCAGTGTTGCTAGGAAGCAACTGGAGCATCTGGAGTCAGTAGGAAGGCTAGGGATCAGCCCTTGGGGAGGAAACTACACATCTTCTGATGGGCAAAATCCAGGCAGGCTGCAGTTGCCTGTTGGGACAGCTCTTTAGAATTCAGCAGAAGTTTAGTCTTTGCCTCTTCATCCCCCACCAGCCCCTTAAATAGCTGCCAAATAACTGCGGACAGCCAGGTTTGATGGGGCTTCGCAAAGACACTCAAACCTGCCAAGCACCGCAGCTGAGATTTTAAACTGAGCTTGGGAATAAATTCTCACCTCCCTACAGATCTTTTATGGGGTTGATTCAGCGTTTCATTCCGACTGCTTTGGAAAGCCCTAGCTGACATGAACAGGAAGGATGTTTCTTCAGGCACTGGCCGTGGATTCTGACACAGTTACAGCAGTTAAGCCCCTCAGCTGCAAATGCCCTTTTCAAACCAAACGGGTTTGTCCTTGTTTCCATGTCCATAGTGTGGACTTTTCTTCTAGTGAGAATGTTACTGTTTTTCCCAGGAAACTGGATGCTGCTCTTTGGAACACAGGAAGTACGGCTCACCTCTTACCAGAAAATGGAGTTGGAAAGGGTGCAAGAAGTGCTCCAAGTCTTATAAATGTGACATCAGCAAAGTGGGAATGACTTTAAGTCTGCCCTGTTAAACCGCACTTCACAATGTGTTTTCTTCACCTATTTTTTTAAACAAGGAACTTACCTTACAGACATTTTCCAAATTTCTGGGTTCTGGTGGTAAATTGCACCTTACCATGGGGCAGTTAAGGGTTCAAGCCTCATCTTTTCACACTTGCTGTTGTTGTCTGGTTGGATAAGTAATTATGCTTTCCTCTGGTTTGCAGTTGGTGTCAGAAACAGTTGTAAATCTGAGATGAAAACATCCATACTGTTTCTTTTTCTGGGTTAAAGTGTATTTTTTTAAAATGAAAGTTGGAAAATTTGTTTTGTTCAAACAAGGGGGAAAGCTATCTGCATGCCACTCAGGTAAATACCTGCCTCAGTTTCACCTGAATATATTCTTCAAATGGTCCTTGTATTTATTTCTGACAGCTGAAAGACATGGTTGAAAAACATGCTCCCAGGAGCTGACAAAGAGCACTTACAGCCACAGCCTTTGCTGGGAGAACCTTCATCTCCAGTTTGTACGGTGCTTAGGGACTCTGAAAGGTTCCTAGTGTAGTGAGCTCCACTAAGTACATGCCCTTGTGACAGAACATCCCCACATCTTCAGAGACTGGCTCACTGCAGAGTAAAAACTGTGTGAAACCACAGAGTAGCGCTGAAGTTACACACTTCCCAGGGCCAGAAGTGGAGAAGCACGTACGCGGTGGTGGTCGCAGGTTCCAAGGTCTGGTGTCATCACGTGCTGCTGGGCCTAACAGAGCCATTTCTTTAATCCCTCAGTCTCCCTGCCTCGGCTGGTTGACCTGGACTGGAGGGTGGACATCAAGACATCTTCGGACAGCATCAGCAGAATGGCAGTCCCTACTTGCCTGCTTCAGTTACAGGTACCGGCAGGGGCTGCAGGGGACACGGGATCACAGGAATCCAGCCCCACACCTGACTCACCAGTGGCAGTGCAGAGCAGTTCAGACAGGCAGCTGGTGCTTGCCCCTTGCCTGGTGGGCAATTAGCAGATTTTCTCAGAGATGATCTTTGAAATACCACAGAACCTGGGATGAAAACCCTCTTTTTGTTACAAGGGAGAGTTTTCTTTGCCTGAGGATGCGAGAAGGCAGCGTATTTGTTTCTGGTCACCATTGTTCCCTGCAGGAAGAAAGAAGATAAATTATGTAGCCATCACCCTTTAGTTCTAACTCCTCATCAGCACGTTTAGCTGACTGCGATAGTTGGGAAATGACTTTTGATTACTAACAATTTCCTTGACATCTATCATTTGGGAAGTACAGCTAAACTTAGTGCTTATATTCTGCACAGTTCTGGATGCCCCCAACCAGTAAAAATGGGATGGGTGGGTTTCAGAGGAGGAGGAGGAGGAAAGATGTCTAATTTCTGTGTGTGGGATGAGGTTCAGTATCCTGTGGCAGTATCTGCTAAGATGCTTTTGATACGGATGTGGCTCCCTGCCATGAGTCTCCTCAGAATTTCCCCACACTTGTGGCAGTACACACTTACTTGCATTCAATGGGAGCACACTTCACTAGTGAGGCACACAGCTGAGCTGGATGTCACATTTAAAGCATTTTTCTTTAGCTATTAAACACTGACTTTTGTAGTGGCACTGGAAAAACACGTGAATGAATTTTTCATACAGCTAACGTCTGCTTTCCTATTTTCAGATTCAGGAAGATGTTGCCTTATGTGGAAATAGTCCTGTTGTTTCTGCACTGACTGTGGAACTGAGCAAAGAAACCCTGGACACTATGTTAGAAGGTCTAGGAAGGATCCGGGACCAACTCTCTGCTGTTGCAAACAAATGAATATTCAAGGACATGGATTCTAGCAGCGAGGAAGGGAAATATTATCTGCCTACAGCTCTCAGAAGTTGCAGCCTAGTGTAACATGTTTTCTGTTTTGTTAAAACAAAATTAAAGAGATTTCTTTATTGAGTTAATAAGATAGCTTTTGAAAAGCTAACACTTAAACATTCCTCTGGTCTGATGCCAAAGAGTGGTTTCCTAGTATGTTGTTGAACAAAAGCTGATCTCTGTTTCAGAGAAGGATTTGAGGGCTCAGAGCTTGGCTTAATCACAAGAGTCATAACTGGAAATAGCAAATAGCTGCAGGCAGTGAAGCAAGTGCTATCTCTGTGCCCTGAAAAGATCTAAAAGGCTCAAGCTGGTTAATGGGCTGCCTTCCAGCGAGGAGGAGAGCGCTGCTCCCTGGAACGTGGCTGTGCTGGATGGAGCGCTCTCCCTTGCAGCGAAGCACAGCCCTGTGCTGCAGACTGCTATTAGGGGATAATGCTTTGAAATGGGGCAATTATGCTACAACACAGTCTCTTCTGATCAGCTTCACAGCACCATTTGCAAAATGACTAGTCTGAACATCTTTAGCAGCAAGTAATTTCCTCCTTCTGTTTGGAAGGAAAAAAAAGGAGCTCAGATAATTCATGTTTGGGTTTATTGGGCTTTGCCTTCGCCGCTCAAAAACCAGGCTGGGAAAGTAAAGAATTGGTGGCCGTTGTCTGCACTGTGGGAAACCCTTCTGTGGCAGTAGGTGCCTGTACTTCCCCAAAGTGTTCTGTTCTTGGTTTGTATAAAGCTTCATTTAATTAAAAAATGAACTGCTAATTGATTTTGTGAGTCTTTCTCAGCCTAGGAGAGATGATGTCCTGGCTTACTTCAGCCTCTTTATGATGGTGCCTAGTTTCCAGGCTGCTTTAATAGATGTTCACATTTGTTGCTGAAGAGGGATCTTTTGTTTCCTGTTCAAATGGATTCATCTTTTAAACTGTCTTCTCTTCAGTAATACAGTTTCAGGGCACCTTTTTCCATGGGCGCCAGCTCTGGGCAATATCACAGCTGATGACACTGACCTAGAGCTTTATAAATATATGCACATTGGAAGTGTGGGGGAGTAAGGGCAGAAAATAAACAAAATTCAGACTCTTCTTTCTGATGAGGTTCTATAATGCTCTGAACTGGAAGACAAGATCCAAATGCTTTGTTTATGGAAAGACTCACCTTTTCATAAAGCATTTGTCTCTCCTTCAAGACAGAAAACATTGTCTGTTGTGTTTGGAAACACGAAATCATTCAAGAAGCGTGCAAGAACTACAGAGCTTTGTTCATTTTACACATCCCTGCAGAGTGCAGGCTGGAGTGTAAGTGTAAATGGAGCTCGTGCCTTTAAAAGATACTGGTGTGATACAGCTTGTGCAGCAGGACGAGCTGTCTGACAAGGCACACGCAGAGATTTAGTGCAGGATCACAGTAAACTGGTAATTTCATATATCATAGGGAAATCTGAAAGCAGAAGGTGGATATTCATGAATCTGTAAGATTCAGGCTGTGAAAAACACCTCTAGCAGATTTCATCAGTTTGAGCAAGTTCTGTTGCCTTTGCAGCCTAACCTTTGAAAAATCCCAAATAGTTTGTCTTGTGCTGTTTATTTTAGAAGCTCAGAATCACTGAGGAGGTAAATAATGCAGAATGAAGTGCTCGTAGTGTTAGCAGAGCTGAGGAAGTCAATACACAGAGGAACTCCTCGAGGTAAAAGTGTGACTGTGTCAAGGTGTTGAAAAAGCATTTAAAACATTAAATCCTGCTTTGTATTATTCAAAACAAAATTCTGCTTCCTCTTAGTGACAGAAAAATGTGCCCTTTAAGTTAAAAGTTGTATCGATGTTGCAATTGAGACCAAGAACTCTGGGAAAAAAATGCCTTTATGATTCCTAGCTTCACTTCAGGTCATGACCTTTAAACACTGGTTTAGAACAGAAGACTGTACGAGACTCATGATGGTTTGGTATAACAGTTACTGCATGTTTCAGTTTGGGGTTTAATGTGGGAAATTTATATATTCAAGTTCCTCCAAAGCTATCATCTAGACAAAGTTTTTGCGTTGTTTATAACTGAGGTGTTAGTGTTTCACTTCAAACTAGGTATTTGGTTACTAGTAATCTGCTTCAGAATTGTTTGGCCCTAAGCAAAAAATGTTAGTTTCAAATTGTCCTGTATTTAACTTTCACTGGAGATAACAGTTTATATTTAACAATGTTTGTGGGACTGCCTGCCCAGATTAGGACTGGAAAAGGCTTTTTTTGGTCACAAATGTGTGATCAATCCCTTGTTAAGTGAACAACATCGCTCTTAAAAATCACACCAGCCGAGCCTAACCTCAGTTCTTGGTACTAGGAACAACGTACCTGGCACTGTCATTTCCTCAGCTGCTTTAGATGTTTAGTTATTCTGAGTTATAACCCCCACAGAAGGAACCAGTTTAACGAATTCACCAATCTGTCTCACATTCCCCTTAAAAGCTTCACCTCCCTAAGCTGTCCTCGCCCTGCACAGGACAATCCCAACACTCAGACCATGTCCCTGAGGGCCTTGGCCAAATGCTGCTGGAATCTTGTCAGGCTTGGTGCCATGAGCACCTCCCTGGGGAGCCTGTTCCAGTGCTCCACCACCCTCTGGGTGCCTGAAGAACCTTTTCCTCATGGCCAACCTCACCCTCCCCTGCCCCATCTTCCTGCCATGTCCTCTGCTCCTGGCACTCGTTGGTGGCCAGAGAGAAGAGATCAGCAAAAAAACCCCACAGGTATCCCTAGAAGCTTCACTATTGGCATCAGTTTCTGAAGCGACACACAACTGTCTGTGAAAACCAAGGTGTGACACTGTGACTGGGCAGTAATGAGACCATCTGCTAGAGCTCTCAATGTCCCTGTGCGCCACAGGGCGTAGGTGGCAGTCGCTACACAGCCCTTGCCATTTGAAGTACGTAAGAACCTGACTGCCCTGCATCTCCTCAACACTCTGTAAACCTCTTTTCTGGGGTTAGTAATGTGACTTGAGTCCTGCCAGACACTGCTGCTGCAGTACAGAACAAAGATACCAACAGTGCACTCACCCTGGGACGTAAATTCACTGTCACCGAGTCTCCCAGGAAGAGGGACCACAGGTCAGAGCTGGCATCACAAGCTGGCAAGCTTCCTAAGCCTTCTCCTACAACCATGGTCTTTCACAAAGAAAGAAGAGTGAGAATGAAAAGGAAGGAATGAAATAAACTTTCCAGGAAGCATAAATCCCTTTTCTCCAGGAGATGGCGAGCTTGGCCTCCCATTTCTCTTCCCTCACCAGTTCAGACTCAGAGAGTGGTGAGGGTTGGAAAGGACCTCGAAAGATCATCTAGTCCAACCCCCCTACCAAAGCACGTTCATCTGGAGCAGGTCGCACAGGATGGTGTCTAGGTGGGTTTGGAACATCTCCAGAGATGGAGACTCCACACCCTCTCTAGGCAGCCTGTCCCAGGGCTCCGGCACCCTCACAGGAAAGAAGTTTTTCCTCCTCTTCAGGTGGAACCTCCTGTGTTCCAGTTTGTGCCCCTTGCTCCTTGTCCTGTCACTGGGCACCACTGAGAAAAGCCTGGCCCCATCCTCTCGTCACCTGCCCTGTAGGTATTGATCAGCACTGATGAGATGCCCTCCCCTGAGCACCTTTGAGGGGAAGCTGGTGGAGATGGCAGCAGCAGCTGGCTCTCCGCAGTGTGCCAGCCATGTTAATCACAGAGGAGGAACAGGTTTCCCTTTTTGCCAGGTTAGATGTGAATTCCTCCAGGGACAGCTCTGGCACCTGCAAGGAAAAGAACAGAGTTGTATTTACAGGGGATGCCAACAACTCGGAATGTTTCCAAACTGGCCCTGCTCAGACCCTGCAAACCTGCAGAGATGTGTCCTTGGACAGCGGTGAGCAGGGCACTGTGCAAATCATCTCTGGAGGGGGAACCGAGCTGGGGATGGAGAGTTCCCTCCCTCCCTCCCAAACCGACTGTGAGCAGCGCAGGGGCACGATGGCATCCCGTGTGTCTGCTCGCTGCTCTCCACCCATATCCAGACTCTGGCGTTGCTTTTTCACTCGCTTCTGCTGTTGCTGTGAACAGGGGGCCTGGGATGAAGCATCCCCCCTCCTCAGTGACCCTTCTGCACCCCCACCTCCCATCCCCTGCCCACACTGAGCGAGGACGTGCTCACGGCCACCAGCAGCACTGACGCCCCACAAAGTGCTGTCAAACCTGCAAGGAGACGGGGGAACAGCGTCCTGCTCACATCCTCGCTCCTCCAGCTTTGGAACAGGAGGAGGTGTGTGCTTTGTTGGGGTTCCTTCCCTCTAAGGAAAAGACAATTTTTCAAGCTGACAGGATCCCTTTATGGTGATGAGATAGTGAAGGTTGGGTGCCAACTAGCAGCAGAAACATAATAGCATCGGTTAGAGCTGTTAGCTAGAGTCTGCCAGCGCTTCTGGTGGCAATTTCGAGGGTTATAACTCAGCCATGCAAACAAGAGGCAGGAGAAACCTCACACCAGCAATCCGGACCTTGCAGTGGGCTTTTTAGTTTCTTACAAAAAACCTAAATACCAGGTTTGCTCTGACACTCCAGACCACGCTGGAAGGAAGAGATAAGAAACCTTCATGAGAAGACTGCAGCACTGGCAGGGAACTGGGTTAACTGGAAACGCTGGTACCTTTACAAGTGTACCACCACTGCCTGTGGGTCCAGGGGTGTCCAGACCCCATTCTGTACCGGTACATCTTGGGGCAGATGTCATCGTCCCTCCCCAGCAGAGCAGCAGCCAGGGCAGCCCGAGCCAGCTCTGCCCCACGGAGTGGCCGGGCTCAGCCCGCAGAGTTCCCTGGGGATCTGTCACCAGGACCACTGCCCTGTGCACCATCCAGAGCATTCTGGCTCCCTGGTGTTTTGTGGCATTTGGTCACTGCTTTGGCCTCATTCCCAAACTTCTTTCTGCATTTATCTCCTTTACCTGCCTGTGGAGAGACATGACCCTTGCTTCTGATTATTATTTTTTTATCCCCTAATAACAGTCACGCTCTACTAAACCAGAACAGCAGAAAGTCCTGGAGAATCTAGAAGGTTTGAAGTGGACGTCAAGAGACAGCTGATAGGCTTTGGAAAGAGGTGTCTGGTGGCAAATAAATAATCAGATTGGAATGAAATCAAAGAAACACAAAAGGGTGACTGAGCCACTGCGTAACTGGAAGTTACCAGAAGTGCATTTAGAGACAACTTCTGTTTGGTTTCTTTTCCTCTCCCTTTCTGAAAAGGGCAGCATGAAAGTGCACTTGGCCATCTGTGTCTCAGGATGTTTTCCTTCTCCTGGGCACAGATGGTAAACTTCAAACATTTTGGCATTTTTGGTTAAAATTTCTTTTTCTTCTACATTTCCTTTCCTTAAATCATTCTGTATCACACACCATTCCAGAGCAGAGGCACTCTGGCAGTGAAAGAACACCATCCTCTTTCACGAATTCAATAGCAATAAATGAAAAGTACCAGAATTAAAGAAAAAACAACCCACAGCCTGTCTTAATGCCTCTGTTGAAGCAATGAAGAGAGCTATGAAGTCTGCCAGGAACTGAAAATGAACTCGACTTTCAGGTGATGAAATTCAACCCATTGGTAATTCTCTAGAGAGGGGGAAATAATTTGGGGATGATTGCTGCATGCAAAATAATATCCTGGTTTGCTAATGATACTTATTCTTAAGCACAGGCTGGTTATTCTCATTAGCAGGGTTCTGGGGAAGGACTATCATCCAGCATAGGGCTCTTG